CGAGTCTCGTTTTGTCAAACGAGTCTCGTTTTGTCAAACGAGTCTCGTTTCTACAAACGAGTCTCGTTTCTACAAACGAGTCTCGTTTCTACAAACGAGTCTCGTTTCTACAAACGAGTCTCGTTTCTATAAACGAGTCTCGTTTCTATTCACAAACAAACGAGTCTCGCTTTAATTCGTTTATCGAGTGACTTATAAATCGTGACGATTGAAAATCGACTGGTTGCCCAGAAACTGTGAGTGATCCCAGGTATCTAGCTAAGAAAAGTAATCCTTCTCTTACTGGGCATGGGCAGAACGCCTCATCTAACTTCGGTAAACCTTCTTCGCACTATTATAAACTTCCTTATGTTGGCCGGTTTTCAAAAATCGCTCAGACTAAGTTAAGACAACTACTCAAACTTTATTTTAGGGCTGATTTAGATGTTAAGTTAGTCTTCAGTACGTTTAAACTCAGAAACATGTTCGGTGTGAAAGATTCAGTACCGCTAGGTCTACGTTCGCATGTCGTTTATAGATTTTCGTGTGCTGGTTGTAATGCCAGTTATATTCGTGAGACCACTCGCCACATTTGTACACGAGTTCGTGAGCACCTCTTGTCGGACAAGACTTCACCGGTATGTTTACAAGCACCTGCATTCATCAAGGGCCTGTCTTGACTCTTGTAATACAGAATGTTTCACGATCTTAGATTCTGCCGCTTCAAAATACCAAATTAAGATAAAAAAAAGCATTCCATATAAAGTGGGAAAAACCCATTCTTAATCAGCAATTGAAGCATCTAGAGTTGTCTCTTTCCTTTTAATTTTGTTGTTCCTTGGTCTTTTGTTTATTTTATTTGTTTTATTTTTTATTTTTTTGGTCTAGTCAAGCGCGCGCTATTTACATTTTTCGCGTATTTAATATTCAAATTGTAACGTAAGCCCCGACACGCAATTTGTAACGTACCTTGATATAAATTCAAATGCACAACCGTTAGAAGCTCATTCGCAACTGAAGATGACATGAGAATGTCAAAACATGTCTTGTAAATTTCAACTTAAAATTGTCGTTTCTTTATTGATAATACATGTACTTGCATTTAACTAGAATACTAATATATTTCTACAAAGGTCAGTCTGATCAGAATTCAAAGCTGGGAAGTGTTTTCTTTTGAAGAGGAAACGATTCCCAGATAAACAAAGATTTGCATCATTTTCATAGGCTAAGTAAATTCTAATTCACCAAGGAAACACTATGTAACTTTGAAGGGAAATTTTTTAGCAAATAGATTTTCATTTACCGTGCATATGTTCAGTGACAGATCACAGATGATGACAAAATGTGGTAAGAACAAAAATGCGGCACATGAGGTGTAGCCAAGTGTATCACGAAGAGCGCCCTAATCTTCTAGAAAGGTAGATGAGATAAAGATACACTCAGCTTGCTCCACAGTCAAGCAACTCATGTCTTACTGCCTAAGTTATCTGGCTCTATGATTTCATTTTTGAAGTTTAGCTTATGAATATGATATGTAGCACAAATTCTGATTGAGGGAAATCAGACGTTGATCGTTACTTATTTCAGTGCAACCCATTTTCACCTTAAATTTTAAAGTTTCAGTGTTACTTTAAACCCCAACCAGTTGCATTTAGGTTCTTTTTGTTACATGTACCATGTAGCCGAGGAGGAGGGGAGGGAGGGGGGGAGGAAAAGGGAGAAAACCAGTAAGTCTGCTCCTAGGCGGTTGCTTGTGTTTTAAAGCGCGACAAACCAGACTCATAAATTATATGTAGCGTCTCAATTATGTTACGTTAAACAACTTAAAGCATGTTGATATCACGAAGACTATGGTTAGTTTAAGAAGCGAAATCAGAGTAATATTCGCCAAGTGATTATTCGCTAAGTGATTTTAGCCGATATAACACCAAATGAAAGCTAACATGTATTAGTATAGTACGTGCTTTTAATGTTGCATAATATACTTTTACCTCTTAGCTTTTGTTTGATGTAAGTTTTATACGCTTTCATTTGATATAAGTTCTATATGAGACGGCCACGCATAACGTTTGAGACAAATCGCCACCGGTGGCGATTTGACTCTGATTAGTGGCGAGTTTTGTGGGGGCGAGTTTGTTGGGGCGGCAAATTGACCGGGTACCTTCATATTAATAATAAGACAAGTTATACAACCACTAGTTCACGTGATAGCGACTTACTACACTAGCGTTAAAGAAAATATAATCCAGAATAAATAATAAAAATGTTGCAAACAATTGGACATAAAGTTTGTCGTGAAAATTGGGAGTTTAACGGATTCATCACTAGAACACAAATAGAGAAGCCTTGACTGTGCTGTGTTCTGTTGTAAAGAACTTAGGAAGCGGCTAGAGCACCAAAAAAATGTAGGAGGACACTCAACCACGTCTCGTGTTTCTCCTTCACTTTTTCATGCTCTAGCCACTTCCTGCGTGTTTCACAACAGGGCAGAGTACAGTCGAGGCTTCTCTATCTGTTAGGCAAAAATACTTCGATATAATAGGAATCAGAATGACTTATTTATTTCGAGAGCCGGGAAAAAAAAATGGAACGGTGTCGTCGTAGAATAAATCCATCATTAAAAGTTTATTAATGAGACAAAGAATGTAGATTCCCTACTATTACAACACAGTTGAGATATTGGTCAAAGATTTACTAAAAAAGAGGTTTTCTGACAGGATATGAAATTTACTATTAGAATTAAAGAAATGACGTGTTTTCGTTCAATCCTGACATATGCCGGGGCAGACAGATTGACGTGAGCCGTTTCGGAAAATTCATTCCGCTTTTCACTCAAACGGCTCTGTTGCATTTTGCTAAATTGAGGATTTGTAAGCTAAGGCCAAAAAAAAAAAAATTTAGAAAGTAAGTGTTTTCTTTTTAAGCGAGACTTGCGAGTTCGTTAGTCTAATTCAAAGAAAATTTGTATTCACAACAAGGTATTTATACATATTCACTGATAAGTTAGACAAGAAATGAAGAAATTGATAGCTGTTGCTGTATGTATTACTTTCGAATTCTCCGTCAATTAAGTTCAAACAAATTCATCATCGTTTTCATTTTTTTTGAGTCTTGTTTTGACCATGTGAATAAAGGCATCCAGGACACGTCTTTGGAAAATGAAGAGTATTGAGCTGAAAACCTTAGTTAATCTATCCTTTTGACCAAGCATCTAAAGGTACGAATCTTCAACTCCTTAAATGGTCCAAGGAAAGCAGTCCAAAAGAGTGCATATCATATTAAACAAGTTCTCAATTGATAGTGGATATGTTTTCTAAAACATTAGCCAACAGGATTAGTTTTCTTTATCTATCACATTACACCCGCGTCAATCGTACTAATTTTAGTTAGAAATCGGGTGATTGCAAACTACAAATGCAGACATCATTTTTACTTCGTAGGTGAACTCCGCTTTTAACTAAGGCCAAGTATGGGGCGTTTTCTTCGGAAGCTATACGGGAACTATTTTTCTGTATTTGTGATAACATTTTTTGTGGCAGATGCTTCAAACGGTATGTAAAGTATGCAAGAACTCCTCAGCAAGTGCTTAGGAGTTATGATGTTGTTTTTAATTGCAGTTTGTTATCTTAATACTTATTTCCTTCCCACAATTTCAACAAAGGAAAGTCATCGATGTGCGTGGAAAAACTTTCAGCCGCGGTACCGACAGAGGACTGGCCTCAGAATAAGATAAACTCGGAAAAAAGCTAAAAGAATGGTTGAAAAATACTGAAGAAAGATAAGGGAAAAAGCACCTTGATCTATTCTTAATTTTTTATATTCCTTGGTGGAAGTTTCATTATAAACCTAAACTCGATGCACGGGACCAAAAAAGTAAGGATTAAAGCTTGTTCGAAGCTGAGTGTAATGGCCCCTTTCTTCCTTTTTAGCCTTCAGTTGTCAGTGTTATCATAAAAGATAAAGCTTTGCAGTTAGACACCATTAAGAGGCGTAGGAGAGAAGGTGATAACAAGAGTATGTTAGAAAGCTTCAAATGACACGAAATGCAAATGTAACCAAACGAAATATTAAAATTATTTAGGCAGTTTGACGTCAAGGAAAATATTAACAAACTCATCAAATTACAGCTTCCCTTTTACCTATTAGATAAATACGTGCTCTCTTGAACGGTTCTTCAACAATTTTTTAAACTATTAAGTGGTTTCCAAATTGCCGAAA